AAAAAAACGCCTTTGCAGGTCACAGACCATTCTGCCTTCCTTTCTAGCCAAGTAACAGTGAAACGAAGCGTGCGCACGGGATGAATTGAATATAGATCCAAAATGATATTTTGCAATAAACAGTAATTCCATAAACGAAACGAGTTTTGCAAGAAACAAGAGGTTTCATAAAATTAGGAAACAAGGCTTGTCCGAAATCTGCAGCTTGAGCAAATTAAAACGAGTGCATCATAAGTTAGAAAGATTAATAACGTAAGTTTCAAGGGAGCAGAGGGAAGTGGGGGTGTAGAGGGCACCTGGTTGCAAATTCAGACCTGGATACACATTTTTTGTTTGTTCAAAAGGATGAATAAGCACATAATCAAAAACCAAATTCGCTTACCAAATGAGTAATCCTCCTCTAACTAGCTCTTTTTTCATTATTTCTAGCTTTACAAACTTTTTTCTAGAACAGGTTACTTGCCTGACCTCATTTTTTTCTGCTTCTCTGTTGGCTCGATACCAGCATGTATCTATTTTCAAAAACAGTAGAATAAAATAAAAGTGACACATAGCGAGAACGTGCGATAGATAACATCTCAACATCTAGGCGGTCCTCTGCCACCGACTTCTATAAAAGGAAGTAAAATCAGATGCTTGTCGCCATAGCCACGATGTCATCACAATATGAGGAACGGATACTTGTGGGTGTGGCCGTCACCTGCTCTCTATTCGCAATCATCGCCTGCTTAATTACTTTTCCTGATCTAGTAAACGAAATGAACGATGTTCATGCCATGGTGAGCTTTTCGCTTCGTTGTCCGTTCCGAGGAATTTGCTTTGACGGAAAGAAAATTACACTGTTGTTTCCTAGGTAAACAGTGCAGTACAATCATTTCGTGTCGATACCGATGTGGCATGGAACAGAGTGATGGAAGTAAAGTTTGCCGTAGCTCCACGAGTGCAAACCGCTTCTGAAGTGCTGAAGTCGATATTCCGAGTGAAAAGGCGTAGCGCAATCTATGCTGGATTACCAGACTTTTGCATATGTGAACCAATAGAGCCGAAATGCCCACCTGGACCTCCTGGGCCACCTGGGCCGCCTGGTGAAAAAGGTGGTTTTTATTTAACCTTATTGCGCTGTTTTGGATATATGTATATTGCATCGTGTTTCTATGAAATCAAAGTTTCTGCGTGATATAATTACGATATAGCAGTGCTACTTCAAACAAATTAAAATCAACTACTCATTTTTACATAAACTTCAACCGTAACATAAAACGCTTTCAAATAGTTTACAAGCGATTTGTCGCAAATGATATATATCCAAGATCAAGAAAAAATATCGTGGTGAATGAAAATCTGGTTTTGTTACGTTTCGCTTCTACTCTATAAATGTAGTTTAGGGGAGCCTGGACCACGAGGGCCACCTGGAAAAGATTATGAACCACCACCCGAATGCCCTACTCCAGAACCTCAAAAGGAATGCATCAAGTGCCCGCCAGGGCCTCCAGGGCCGCCTGGACCAGATGGACCACCTGGATGCAAAGGTCCGGCTGGAATGCCCGGAAAAGACGGTGAACAAGGCAAACCAGGACCTGAGGGACCTCCAGGCCCAAGCGGTGACATAGGCGAGATTGGTGAGCGTGGACCGGATGGGCCGCCTGGCCCGCCGGGTAAATCAGCTCTAAAGGGAACTAAGGGCAAGCCAGGACCTCCTGGACCACCTGGTTGTGCGGGACCAGCTGGAAAGCCAGGCCCAGATGGAAAAACGGGCCCTCCGGGAAAAACAGGGCCACCAGGTGAAATGGGTAAACCAGGCCGCCAAGGACCTCCTGGACCTGATGGCAAGGATGGCGAACGCGGTGAACAGGGACCTCCAGGACCAGACGGACATTATTGTCCCTGCCCGCCACGTACCATTCCTCTATTCAGTCTTCCTCCGCAAACTCCTGAAGCTACCACCTCTGCTGCACCTGAGACTACTCCTTCCATTCCTGAAACTAGTTCTCATCCTTCCACGTACGAAGTAACCTCGACGGCATCCGAAGTCTTGTCCTCCACAGCAGCCGCAGATACTTCCTCCACGACAGCCGAACATATATCCTCCACAGCATCCGAAGCGGTTTCTACTGCATCTGGAACTACTTCTTACGGTGCACCAGGAAGCATTCCCCCCGCTTATCTTGAAACTACTGCTCCCAGCAATGCTTCTGAATCGACATCACCTGTTAATCCATATGAGTAGCGTATTTGGCTTTACCAATTGTGATATCCCTCACAGTGTATCTGTATCATTCAGCTGCCATTTCTTTAGGTTGTTACCGATAAGTATTCCGTCTTATGTTGTTTGTTGTATGGACGTTTATCAAGCACATTACTTCTCTTTGCTGTTTTGCATGCCCTGAATTTTAAAAAGGAACTCAAGTTTTTGACAAAATGTTGCTTTGATGTTGCCAAAAAGCTACATTGTAAAAATATGCTATTAATAAATTGCATCATCCTGATTTACAACAAAACCAGATCCTGTATCAGAAATGCATAACAAACACTAAAATGACATAGATACACGAAAAACCTGTTTCAGCTAAATATCATAGGAAAGAAAAAGCTAGACAAAAAATTGTTCATGTGTTAGGATGAGTCAACAACGAACAAAGACACCGCAGCTGGTTCTAAATAAGGGGTCATAGTCATTGTGATGTTACTCGCTTTACACTTGTTGCGAAAGTGGTAATAATAGGGTGCGGCCAAAGCTAAATGCTATGCCTATTTTGCAAACTTGTCACCTCCTATACTCACCCTGGCAACCTTTACACAGAAGGTTTGTTCACTTTTTGAGTAAAATCCTAGGTCTCTTTCATATAAATTCACCACCTTCGCAGGAGTT